CTCAAAAGACAGCCCGGCTCAGGGTAATTTGCGAAAGGGTAGCTCGGCGTACCGCAGGAAGACTTTCTGCTCGACCGTCGTACCCAACAAATTTGTGGACAACAGACATGCCCCTCGTCAGAAAGCACCGCGCCTGTCACCTTCAAAAAGGTGTCTCACACCTGGAAGGCACGTACCCTGCAACGACGGCCCTGTGTGTGCCACCTCAGCCTTGCCAGTAACGGCTGTGGCAGACTGACAGTGGCGGTTATACCTACCCTATCAGAAGCAGAGGGCCTGAAGCAACGGAATTCAGTTATAAAGGGCTTATTCTCAAGGAACAAGGTATCTTCGAATCACCTGCGCAATCTTCACTCTTAGCCTTCGTTTTCCCTTTGCTTCCTGCACAAAATACTGACTTAATCATCGGAGTGTTCCCGCCGGGCAAAACCCTGGGAGTTCTTCTTCTTCCTCTTCGTTTCAGGTACCTCTCAGGAGCCACGTGAGTACCATTTAGGAGTGACCGGATCGCGCTACATCAGAATCCATGTCTAATTTCCTATTATTTCTTATCATATATAAGTAATAAATAAGTAAAATAACATAAATAAAAATAAAATTCTTAATTTGATTAAGACATGTAAAAAACACATAAACTATCAATTGTCCTTCATGTAAAATTCAAAATGTTATTAAATTTAAGACCCAATACATAAAGCTTATATGCTTTCTGCCGATTGGGGAGGATCGGGTTTAGCCTAATACCATTACTCTACCCGTACCCATACAGATTAATCCCAAAACCCATCTCCACCCCAAACCCCGGTACCCCCGGGTGCCATCCCTAGGTAGAAAATCCTTTAATTTTTTCATTTTTGATCTTATCTTTTTTTAATTTTTTCATTTCAACATTGTATCTCTACCACACTTATTTTTTGAACATGTTTATTGATTGCTGAACACTTTGCTACGTTCAACATTTTTGGCCTTACCACTATTTTATGGAATTTTCCTTTGGACCTAAATGCTATTCACATGATCCCCTCTATTTTGTCCATCCCATTACTTTGGTTTCATGTTTACATTCTCCTTAATCTCTCTATTGTTATGAACCATTAAACCATTCTTGAATTAAGCCAGTAAGCCTAAAATAATCAAACTGAACCAACCTAATTATATAGGGTTAGGTTTGCTTTACATGTTCTTCATAATCGGGTGGGATTTGTTCTAGTTGTTGAGAACCAATTAATACCTAATCCAATATTATATATAATTGTATAAGTAATTATGCATCTGTACATCAACATATTGAAAAAAAAATAGACAACCTAATGCATCATGCACATGCCTATATTTTTCATGATCTAGTTGTAATATTCACATATCTAGGGATGCAAATGGATTGGACCGAATTTGAATTAGGATAATTTGAACCCGATCCAACCTGAAGATCTGATAGGATTTGATAGGCCTTGATCTGAATTTGAATCCTATCGGTAAGTTGGATCATCGGATCTTATCCAATTCGACTTGTTTTTCTAAAAATTAATAAATTATTAAAATAAAAATAAAATATACTAATTTGAATAAAGAAAAAACAAAAAATACAAGTATTTTTAATTATTTTTATCATATATATACATGCTTTTTATAAAAAATAAATAATATAACAAATTTATAAAAATAGAATATAAATAATATATTCATAAATAAATAAATAACATATATATATACTATATTATATATATATATATATTTATATAAATAAATATATAACATATATTGGATTGGATCTTCTCAAGTCGGATAGGGGTAATCTGAATCCGATCCGATTTCTGGTCGGATCCTATTATCCATTCCGATACGATTCAAAGATATAAATAGAAGTGACTCAAATTCGATCAAATAGGACCGAATCTCAGATTGGATTGAATTGGATTATGATCCGATCCATTTGCACCCCTAAATATATCAATTTAACAAATAAGTAGAATTATTATCAAATTATAGATTATAATTATTGTTGTAGCCTAGGATGGGCCAAGGGAAACAAGGTAATTTCACTTCTGAGTCGAGGGCTAACTGAAGAGTCCAAGGTCTATTGTGACCAAGGGCCAATAGGCCAGTCCTATGATGAGGGAGAGAGGGAGAACATTAGAGGTCCCATGTGAGTACCCAAGGCGGAGACTCCAATGGTTAAGTTAGTATAGGTGCAACAAAGGGTGAATGAGGCCTGTGGTTGGAACACTCACATGAGGTCACGAAGGGAACAAGGAAACTCTTAATGATCTTAAGTCTAGATGTTTACCTTGAGAGGGTATGTTACCCCCTATTTATACTTGAAGTCACCTGGAGGTAGGTTGGCACAGATGACCAAGATGTGGTATGGCTCTGAGGAGCACGGTCATCTGAGGCTACCGCATGCGGCCACGCTATTAGCCCAATGATGTGTGCCGGCTTTTGCTCTCTACACACCCTCATTGGGTCTGCCCTGCGTGCCACCATCTGCCACACACGTACATGCTATTGATCCGGAACATGGGCGCCTACATCAATTATTATGTATAACTATCAATTGTAATGGGTCTTATAGAGCTTAACACGATATGTAATCTCAATTAATAATTCGGTTGGCTCTGATAGGGTCTGGTTTGAATTGCTTATGCAGATTTATTTATTACATATCGGTTCTGATGAATCAATTTTTGGTGATGTATCAATTTTTTGTACTAAGTACATCATCATTTGGTCTGCTTCCAAGTGGCCGATGACTCTGAGGCCGAAGTTAACTTCTGTTAGATGAGGACCTGGATGCCGAGCTGACCAGGCCGAGCTGGGGGCAGATTAGGTGCCGAGTTAACTGGGTCGAGCTGGGCAGGTTAGGTGCCGAACTGACTGGGCCGAGCTAGGCAGGTTAGGTGACGAACTGACCAGAGTGCCGAGCTGACCAGAGGGCCGAGCTACCTGGTGGCGAGCTGGATTGATTGTTGAGCTTCGTAGTTCTTTAGAGACCTGCAAGGAATCAATGTCAGAGGACCCGAGGTGGCTAACCCGGCGAGGTTGCTCCGATGCTTAAGTCAGTACTCTCATAATAGATTGTGAGCTAAAAATCACAAAGTATGAGAGCTAAAATATGCTTACTTGCCCCCCCTCATGTCATTGGGATTGGTGCCTTTATATAGGCATTGGTTGGTGTGGGCTTCACGCACCATATCCAAGATTTCCGAGAAGTCGTTTAAGTGGTCCGAGATTCCTTGAGGCAACCGCCATGCACGTTAACCACCCTCCGAATCGTTCGGCACGTGGGCCAACTTCCAAGGATCGTGGGAGTGTTAGGATATGCATGCCGAATTTGTCGCCGGGCATGTCTCGTAGGTCGCCAGGTCGGCGCCTGGGCCAGGCCGCCAGGTCGCACCTGTACCAGGCCACCAGGTCGCGCCTGTGCCAGGCTGCTAGTTTGCACCAGGGCTAGGCCGTCAGGTGGGACACCATCAACTTGGATAAGGCAAGTTGTTGCTAAAGTGGTTCTGGGTATCACCTAGTTGTTCTGAGATGCCATGTGTCACAATATCATTGGAGGGCCAGATCCGCCCTCATCAGGTTCTATCTTGACATAGCCCCAACCTCAACTCATTGACAGTATATTTAAACGTGTCATATGCTGGCCCCCCTAAGATTAGATCTCCTCCTCACACTGTGAGATCAGTGTGAGATGCACTGTGTGAGGAGCATGCTTCAATTCTTATGCGAAAATTGAATTAAGAGTTTTTTATAGTTTAATTCACCTATAGAGTGGAGCTAAGATTCGTAAAGGGTGGACTGAATCTGTCCGTAGAATTCACGGGTAAGATACGGTTTAGAAGGAGGTATTAGTAGACTAGGAACCGGCTGCAATTTCAGATTTTCTATCCCTCTCATGATTAATTGAATGCAATGATTCTGTAACCAATAATAACGGCCCGGTCATTAAAATGCATAGCTACTCACTCTCCCACTTGGCATTTATGACTTGTGTTGGGGTGGTCTCGTTGGTTTCGCAGCCACCACATTCAACCAATCCAAATTTATTTATGAGTTTTCGTGCTAGTCATAAAATCATGATTAGTAATTGGGTCGATTGTGGTACGTTCTCCTTCGGAACCATTCTGTACATTTATGCTGACATGGACCCTACTATCAAAACAATTAACTGCGCCACCTGTCAAACTTGTCAAACGCAAGTCCTGAGCCTGACCCCTAATGCTCAATAAGGTAGTGTTTGTTAATGTGATGGTTTTGTTTTTCAAAACAAAAACAACTGCCATGTTTTTTTGAGTTGGGCAGTTATTTTTGTTGCTTTAAAAAATAAAAATATATACATTGGCAAAAAAAGATAGCAAAATTTTTATAAATCTTTTAACTAAACATAGCCTCAATTCATTCATTCAATCTCATAAAATGACTTCTAGAAAACAACCTCATAAAAAGCTTAAGGATTTTGTAAATTCAATTTCGCATGGTCCTAGATTTTTTTATTGAAATTTTAATATTTCGATTACTTTGAATTATTTTATTAATATTCTTAATCCAAATAAATGCCCATTATAATTGCATATAACATTTGGTAAGGTTGATGTATAAAATAAATAAATGAAGGTTGCTTTTCATCCTAGATGGGGATGAGTCAAAGAAAAAGTCTTTGTGATAAATCTTAAAAAATGAAGCAAGTACTAAAGTCATGTGATCATTTCTTTAATTTAATTTAATTTAATTTATTTATTTTTGGGTAATCTTGGGACCATCCTTGAAACAAGTAATTGGGCCCTATGCACATAATTAAGTACACCATTGATCCAGCCCATTCGTCAAACGGTTAAAGTCAACTGTAAGAATATTCCCTAATTAAGACACGTGTCAAGAATCTATGGGTTCGAAAGCCTCTTTCTCTCTTCAAGCTCTACCAATAGAGACTATAAGTTTGACTTTGACCACCGGGAACCGGGTGAGTGAGATTTGTATTTTCCCGGGGAAAAGGAAAACGCTGCACTCACACCAGTCGTATGTGGAGTTGTGGACTGCAGATGAGCTACAAACAGAGGCCCGAGAACAGAAGAGGAAGAAAAATATCCCTTGGATTTGCTTTTTTTTTTTTTTCTTTTTTCTGGGTTTAACCAGAAAGCGACTCCTCTTCCCTAATTGCGATTGAGCATGTTCACTTGTTCAGTTGGGATTTCATTTAATTTCGACTGTCTTTCACTCTCCGCCATTTTCAGAATATTCAATTCCTTACCCTTTTGAGGTGGGTTCATAACTGATTCACTCTCTGCTTCCTGTATACTTCACACTGCTGCTTTGAGAATTCCAGGCTCTAGGCTTCTTTTTTCTGCCATGGGGTGGTGGTCTAAGAACCAGGGAGTTGTCTACAAGCCTGTGGAGGAAGTCGATGTAAGCCCAGAAAGTGATGAGGTTTACCTCCGGTTGGATGTCAAAGGTTCGAACCAGATTATCTTTACTTTTCTGTGTTTCAATTAACTTGTTTTCTGTGTGTGGGAGGTAATTCTGATGGTGGCAGTGTTTTGTAGTTATTTTGCTGTTGTAACTTGTAAGAGTGTGTACAAAAGTGTGTTCTGAAAATTGATTAGAATTCAGTATTTGGGTGGAGATTATTGGTTGCCCATGGCAATTTTTAGGATGCAAGCACATTTTTTATATTAGAGTGTTAGGATTGATTTCTTTTGTTGGTGTGCAAGTTCAATAGCTGTTTCTGTCGTTGTTTGATCATGGGTGTTTATTACATTTCTTTTTCTTGTCTAGATTTCATACTCTTTAGTGATTGCCTTTATTTTGGTGAAAACTGGGAATGTGAATGTTGGTTTAATGCTTTTAAATTCTATAATTAGATATTGAATTATTTATGTATTGGGTTTGGACATCATTGAATTCACCTATATTTTAGTGTTAGGCCAAAGGCCACTAGATGTCATTAATCGATTGATCCATTGCATTTGGTACCAACACTTGCTTTCACTTCCTCCATCCCCAAGCTTATGATGGTGTTCACTGAAAGAATGACCTTGAAAATATGGAAAACTATAGATGACAGCAGCAGTTGCAGATATGTTGACATTGTGGATTTCCATGCTTATACAGCTCCTCGTATGGTTGGATTTTTAATCAAGATTGCTGCATGGGTTCTGGAATCAAGGATTATTGGAGCACTGTTAGTGTACATACTGAAGGTTGAAAATCTAATTCACAAGGTATCATTTTGGTGTTTCTTGCTATTGTCTCCATTACCTTTTAAACTTTGTCCTTTGTTTTTTTCTTTTATTTTTTATTTTTTATGTATATCTGGTTGAATTTTGGTAATTTGTAGTTCAAAATTGTATCCTTTAGTTCCAGTAAAGTTTGGCCTTTTTAGGCTAGTACATTGGAGTTGCTGAAGCACATATTTCCAGAGAGGAAGCTTTTCAATTGTTCTCTCTATTTCTTTCATAGTAAGTTATGTGTTTCTAGCAGCAAATAAAATTTCAATAGAACTCATCATATATCCAAGGGAAAAAAGTGTGGGAAAGTCTGCAGCAGTACTGTATTATGTTCCAGATAGAAAGCTAGGAAATGATAGCATAAGTTCCAAAAATTTTCTATGGGGAAGCAAGATATGAATACCTTCCCAAGTAACCCATGCCCGTACTGTATTCTGGATTTTTTTTACATTTTGTTTTTATCAGATTTATGGATTCTTTCTTTTTTATCCTTTATTTTTTGGATTCCTATAACCCATGCCCGTACCTTTTATTCAAGAAAAATTCTAATATGCTGTAAATACTGTATATCTTCAATAACCATCATTTTGGGAAGAAAATAGTTAAATTGTATGTATGATAGCTTGAGTAACAAAGGATTTTATGTCTACATAGCTGTAATTCCATAGAGAAAATATGTCTTTGTGCACCTTTAAATCATAATATTTATACAACTTGTTGACTGGTTAATGGCTAACCAATTCCTCAAATATTGCTGTACATTTTGCTTCTCTCTTAAGTAGTTTTGTTTTTGCGTTCTATTTGATCTAATCTATTAGATTTTTTTCACATTCTATTTGTCGTTATTTATTTTATCTTTCAGTAGTTTGATAGTTCGTCTCTCATATATGGATATTTTAATGAATCAGGTTAAGAATGGGAAAAGTTTCCTCTTCTTGTAACTATTCGAATAATTTATTGTGTTTACTACAATTTTTAAAGGCCAAGAGTTTTCATGGCCTTTTCAGAGATTTTCTTCACTCTACTTCTATACGTTTTTTTTTTTAATCCTAATCACATCAATATTCAAGTGTGCTACCTTTGAAATTCCATTTCCATTTGATTGTTTAGTGAAGAGGGAAGAGCAATCTGTGCAATTCATTTGATTAAAATAAGATGTACTACAATCATTTATTTGGAGATAGAATTTAGTATTGTGGTTTCCATGTCTGCCTACATATTTACTTGAATTTGGCTTCTAGTTTCCTTCTTCATATTGAACTTAAATTCTTTTCTAGTTTCTTGGATATGTCAGCATGATACCTTCTATGTCCCATTTGTTTGACATAATGATGCCATTTTAAGTAATTTTCCCAGGTTGGATGTTTTTATATCCATGATTATCTTGTTTTTGGGTTTCATATTCATATCATTTATAAATTCACAATTACGAATATTTTTTTCTTGCTCTGTCAGAATAAGTTTGTTCATCAGTAAATCTTCTTTTTCTCACCTAAATCCTGTCCACATCAAATTACAAAGATTGATAACAAAATGAAAAAGGGTTTGAATTGAATTTCTAATGAAAATGATGGCCTTGGAATTCCATTTATCTTTGATTTAAAAGCTTTTGAGTCCAATTCTTTCTAATGGAACATTCTATGCTTGTATCTTTGTTTATATCCTGCATTTCTCTTGTAGCCACTTCTATCCTTATTCCTTCCTTATATAGTAATTTGCCTAGTATATCATGATACTTGAACCATCTTATTCCAAGAACATAACAAAGGTTCTCATTGAGAAGTTGCATACTTGCCTTTGTTTTGCAGTTCATTTCCTTTGCAGAGTTGAAAGAACCGCCTCTGTATGTGCCCTACCATCCTTGGGAAGGTTAATTTCTTCATGAAATTCTCTATTCTTGATGCATATGCTCATCTAAATGTTTTGTGTTGAAAAGTTGATCTTTTCATGAATTTGTTACTGGTTAAATGTTAGTACATCACCTTGTAAGTTTCTCATATCTGACCATGGCAGATCTTGAAGAGAAAGAAGTTAAATCCATACCATCTGAATTGTCACCACCCGAGAAAGTTCTGCAAGCTGTGGATTGCTTGCCTTTACGTTCAGATGTTACAGTAAATGTTCAGAAGCCCTCATTTATACGCTGGGCAATACAAGATTACTCAAAAGCTTATATTTCAGGAGAAACAACTCCCCTTATGGTACATCATTTGCTTACCATTTTTATCTTTGATTTACTAATGGTTTACCTTTCAAAAATGATTTGTGTACTTATTCAATCAGACTTTTCAAAGCATATGTATTGATTCTGTTAGTGCATACTGCCTTCCATTTGCTGCTTTTGGAACCTTCTAAACTTCTTCTGTATTATGTTATCTTGCATTAGATTATTTAACATTTCCTATAAATATGCTGTATATTCTTTAGTTGCTTAACCATGAATTGTACAGGTAGCACAGTGCTTTCTAGATGCTGTGCGTGACTCTTCTAATCCTCCCCTTCATATGTCATTCTTTATCAATTATTATGCTGAAGATATTTTAAAGCAAGCTACTGAGTCAACTCTTCGATATGAGAGAGGTACTTGTCTTATTGGTAAAGTGCAAACTACAATTAAATAATTCTTAAAATATTTCTATGATTATAGCACTCTTTGTGCTCTTTTACATGTTAAAATCCTTACATTATTCCATCATCATCATCATTGTCATTTTCATCTTCTAATCCTTGTCCTAACTATATATATATAGGGTTGGCTATATGAGTCCTATTTTACCATTATGTTCTCTTCAATGTCATATCCATTGTTAAACTATGGGCCCTTAAATCTTTTGTCACTACTTCAATCCATGATCTTTTTGCTCTGCCCTAGATCTTCGAGCCCTTTCAACTTGTAACATATCACTTCTTTCCCTAGTTTTATTACCCACGGGAGCTATTCCTAGGTTCCTTATAGTAAGTTCATTTATGTTCCTGTATATGATTTCTAGTTTTCGCTCATCCTCAAAATTTATATTTCTATCATATTAATGCCTTTTGCACCTACTGCTTCTTGATTGCCCAACACGTTGCTCTATACAACATTTCTGGCCTTATAATTTGTTTTATAAAATTTTGCACTTAGCCTAAGTGGTATTCTCCTATCATACTAGACTCTGAATTCACCCCTCCATTTTCCCCATCCTGCTCTAATTCTCTGGGTAACATCCTCCTCAATCTTTCCATGTTGTGAATCACTAACCAAGGTAACAGAACAGAATTGAGATATCACTTGACCTCCATACATCTGGTTTTGCATAATAAGAGCATTTTATTATTTATTATATTTATATGATTAAGAATTATGGAAAGTTGCAGATTAGTACCTGCACTTTGGGGGTGGTCTCACTTATTTATTACCTGAACATTGAAAAGTGCCACTATAGTACCTGAACTTCCAGAAAGTGCACTTTAGTCCAACACTATTAACAAACGTTATAGTGGGTACTAAAATTACCAAACTGCCCTTTTTCTATTATGAACAGTCAAATACATTTATAGAACCGACAAAACTCCTCTCTCTCTCTCTCTGTATCAGTCATTCACTTCATCAAATGGATAGGCATGGTTGAATTTGGGGGTTAGACAGGTTACCTCAATCTAGCGGATTCATTGCCACCTGTTTGTAGTTATCAGGATGCAGCCACTACAAGTGATTGGGTTTTTCTTCTCGCGTTCAGTCTCAGGGAAGAAGATGATGAGCAATGTCTTCTTCCAAAGAAGAGGGCAAAATAGTCTCTACCTATTTTATGTGAAGGGTAATTCTATGATCTTGAAATGTTTCAATTGCACATGACATCACGTGCATCAGATAATTGACGAAACGCTAACAACCGGACTAAAGTGGCACTTTTGGGAAGTTCAGGTACTATGGTGACATTTTTCAAAGTTCAAGTACCAAAGTGAAACCACCCCCAAAGTACAAGGTACTAATCTGCAATTTACCCTTAAAATTAACACAAGAGAGGAGTCTGCAAAAAATAGCATATATGACCATCCATTATTGTAATTTATTTCTTCATTAGCTATAGACATGCTTGGATTTGGAATTATAGTTGAGCTTTGAGACTGGATTTGAATATGAGCTATAAATTAGGTCTAAATTTAGAAACATGATGGGACCCCATTAGTTTGTACTTCAGCTTCAGGAATGGTTATCCCATGGTTTCTATAATGTAGGATGATCCAATAGATATGGGTTTGTGGTTTTAGGCATTTAGAAAATAAGGTATTTAAATAGGGGTATCTTTGTTATTCTGATGCATTTAAATGGGCTAAATTTTGAAAATGACAAATGGTTACACTAATTGTGTAGGATTTAGAATATAAAACAATGCCTTATCTTGCGAAAAAATGCCAAGTACTAACCTTAAAAGATTAATAAGAGGTTTGGGGATGTGATAATCAATGTAAAGCATAAGACAATAATTTTTTGATCAAAAGAAGACCCCATAAACAAAAAGAGAAAAGGGCAAACTACAAAGACCCCCCTTGTACTATGGGGTCAGTGACAAAAACCTCTTTGTACTTTAAATTGTGACAAAGAACCTCTAAACTTTTACCATGCAATAAATACCCCCTAGTCGCTAAGATGATGGAATGCGTCAAATTTCTAAAATACCCACATGAACTTTCTTTATTTTCTTTTCATTGCCCTTTTTTCTTAAACCCTAATCTAATCTAATCTCCATATTTCCTTCTCTGATAAAAGTTATGTTAAAAGAAGTGTAACTCAAGGAACTACAAAATAAATGAGAGTGGTAGTAGAGAAAAGAAATTGAAATCTGAAGGATTTCTTTAATCAATTTGAAATTATTACAAGCTATGAAGCCTGAAGCATTGAATTTTTTGATAAACTTCCATGAATTCAGCCATTGATTAAAATATTCAAGTGCTGCCATAATATTTTACGATTTGTTGTGCTTCATTTGTGAAGTCAAGCAAACAAGTCAAATTCCAAATGTCTATTAGTTTTAGTTCCAAACCAAGTATTAAACATAGTTGTCAAGGCATCGCCTAGGCGACTAGGCACCCTTGGTTGGCTGCCTCGCCCAAATGCCTTGACTTTAGCAACTAGGTGCCCTGCCTAGGTAACAAAAATGACAAGGTGGATGCCTTTTATAATATCATTTATGTTGTTGTATCTTATTAATGTATGTGTTAATACACTTTATTATATGATATATATTAATTATAGAAAGAATAGAATAATAAAATTCTCTTTTTCTATTATGTCTCTCTAATTAAATAAAACAAAAACTCCATCCTTGTTTTTTTTTTCTATTTTACTTTCTATCTTGAATATTTATCATATAAAGTTAATAACCTTCTTTAGTTGCTAATTAATATGAATTTGCTCTATTAAATACTTATTATAGTAATATTATTTTTGAAAATAATAAAATTAATATATGTAAAAGATTTTTATCTTTTAGATGTGATGATTTGCCACATTTTTTGAAGAAATTTAATATTCTTAATAAAGAGAATTGCTATTTTTCAATTAACATACATGTTGAATGGTATATAAAACTAGGAGACTAGCCAAAAGTTAGTTTTTTATATTATAAATTTTTTATCGCCTAGGCAACTAGGTGCCCCAGTGTCATGCAAAATCACCTAGACACCTTGAAAACTATGGTATTAAAGTGTGGCAGTCCAGCCTGGAGTTGCATTTACAGGCAGAGAAGTCCACCAACATCCATCAATTGTAGGAATCAATCGTCTCTGTGGTTATTGGTATCTATGGCGATTTGGTTGGAGATGTCTTCTCACCGTTCAAATAAATAAGAAAAGGGTACTTTTCGGATTTAAAAAGTTTTAAATAGCTGAATGAAAATCCTTTTCAAAGATGACTAGCAAAATGCTAATGGAGGGGGGTGTCTTTTGTCACAAATTAAAGTACAAGTGGTCTTTGTCACTGACCCCATAGTATAAAGGGAGTCCATGTAATTTACCGAAGAAAAAATTATAGGCAATTGAAAAGATACAAACCATATTGAACACTAGATTAGCGTTCCATTAACATGCATGCTAGAGTTATAGTAAAATAGTAATCACCAAACATGCATAGAGTCATAACCACATAGATAAGAGTTCCAAGGGGAACCCTAAAATTTATTAATTCTGAAGTCTCAGGAATTTTTCATGCAAAATTTTCAAACCCTTCTTGGACTATTTAACTCTGACAAAAGAAAATTGAATTTTATAGTAGAATAAATCTTAAAATTCACTTAATCTATTATTGCTATTTTCTTTTATACAACAAAGCAACTATAATCTTGGATTAACCATTTATTAAATTTTGAATGGGACCAGGCTTGATGTGGTTGGAATTCTTTAAATCATATACCTGGTTTGCATTCAGAAAGTGATTCCTATAGAAATCTCAATGATACTTGACTTCTTATACCCTTGTCAGAACCTAACTTCTGCCATAATCATAGAAATTACTCCTTTGAAGGCATTCATAAATCCCAAGCCCATCTGCAAAATCTATCACCGAAATTCCCTTTCAATTATCCCATGTCCATAGAAAGTGGGGCCCATATGATGAAACAGAACCTCATGGTGAGATTCCTCAGCCCCAAACCTAAGAATATCAAATTTCAACTCTTTGGTCAACCATTTAATCATTGAAAAATACTGGTCAAAGGATAGATACTTGAAGATGAAAATCTCTTTAAGTTTGACTAGTTAACATAGAAGATTTGAGTGTTGGATGAGCAATCTGCCCCATAATTGAACTTAGAATTGTGAAATTAAGAAAATTCCAAAGTTTGAGGCCAAACCCTTTTCATCTAACAATCCATATACCATTTTTTTTTCCAATAAACAACTCGTTTTCAATCGGAATCTTTCATATTCTAGAAAAATCTGGCCCATGGCAGTTTAGTAAATAAGTTTTACCATAATCAAGAAGAAACGTTGTCTGTAATTACCCCTTTGAATTTAGACCTTATGACTAGAAAAACCCAATAAACATTCATCATAAACTTATTTCTCTCTTTCTAGTTTGTGGGATCAAGTTCTCTTTTAAATGGCCTTAAGTAATCTTGAGGTTTTTCTTAAGATTATATGCTACTTTTCTTTCAATGGGCACTATCTATTATTATGCTACTTGCTACATTCATAATAAATTGATTTACCTCCTTATAGGTTGTGGAATCAAATCCTCCTTTAAAGGGTCCAACATGTTCTTGACATATTTATAGTCTAAAAACTATCATGTTTATCAATGGACACTATCCATGTTATATAACTTATATTCCCACTGTATTTTATTATATATGTTTATTTTGAATACTTGCTCAAATGATATTGTGAAGATATTTCTTCTAGATTATGTTTTCCTTCTTAACTCTCCTCATATTATTATCCAGGGGAACCAATTTCAATTTTGGACGGTGTCCCAATTGCTATTAAGGATGAAATAGATTGTATGCCATATCCAACTACAGGTATTCTTCTTTGGAGAATTTTCTATAGGCAGAGTTTATTTTTAGTACAATTATCAAATTCTATTTAGTAGAATGGATTTAATTATTTTTTCATAGTTTCTAACTTCAATAATGGTTCTAGGAGGAACAAAGTGGTTACACAAATTAAGACATTGTATTGATGATGCATGTTGTGTCAAGCATCTAAGATCCTGTGGTGCAGTGCTTGTTGGGAAAACCAACATGCATGAGCTTGGTGTTGGAATAAGTGGAATAAATCCTCATTATGGGTAAGAGCAAGTGATTTATGCAACTTCTATAATTTTCTTTATCATATTTTTTATTAATATATTACTGAATTAGACAACTTGTTTGGAACAAGCAACATAATAGATGCTATTACATGTGCATTTCCTAATTATTACAGGGCTTCTAGGAATCCTTATGATTCCACCAAGGTGTCCGGAGGTTCTTCTGGTGGATCTGCTGCAGTGGTGTCTGCAGGACTGTGCCCTGTTGCCCTTGGTATTGACGGGGGAGGTAAAGTTTTTTTTTTTTTCTTACATGAACAAGATCATACTAACACTACTTTGTTGCCATATTGTGATAAATCAACTTTGAATATAAAATTTACTAAATAGGGTATATGTATTGCTTGCACTTGGTTCCGACGATGGTAGTGTGTCGCACCGACGATGGTAGGAAAATCTTAAAGGCGTAGTTTCAGTGCCGTACATCTTTTTTCAGGTTCCCACCAGGCGGGAAATTGAGATGGGGAGTAACGAATCAATTTTTTGTGCTAAGTAAATCGTCATTTGGTCTGTTTTCAAGTGGTCGATGACTCAGAGGCCGAAGTAAATTTTTGTTGGATGAGGACCTGGATGCCGAGCTGACCAGGCCGAGCTGGGGGCAGATTCGGTGCCGAGTTAACTAGGCTGAGCTGGGCAGGTTAGGTGCCGAACTGACTGGGCCGAGCTAGGCAGGTTAGGTGATGAGCAGACTGGGCCAAGCTAGGCAGGTTAGGTGATGAGCAGACTGGGCCGAGCTAGGCAGGTTAGGTGACGAGCTGACCAGAGTGCCGAGCTGACCAGAGGGTCGAGTTGCCTATTAGGTGTCAAGCTGACCAGAGGGCCAAGCTGCCTATTAGTTGCCAAGCTGGATTGATTGTTGAACTTTGTAGTTCTTTAGAGACCTGCAAGGAATCAATGTCAGAGGACCCGGGGTGGCTAACCCGGCGAGGTCGCTCCGATGCTTAAGTTAGTACTCTCATAGTAGACTACGAGCTAAAAATCACAAAGTATGAGAGCTAAAATATGCTTACTTGCCCCCCATGTCATTGGGGTTGGTGCCTTTATATAGGCATTGTTTGGTGTGCACTTCACGCACCATATTCGAGATTTCTGAGAAATCGTCTAAGTGGTCCGAGATTCCCTGAGGTAACCGCCATGCACGTTGACCACCCTCCGGCTCATTCGGCACGTGGGCCAACTTCCAAGGATCGTGGGAGTGTTTGGATATGCATTCCAAATTCGTTGGCGAGCACATCTTGCAAGTCACCAGGTCGGCGCCTGTGCCAGGCTGCCATGTGGGACACCATCAACTTGGTTAAGGCAAGTTGTTGGCAAAGTGGTTCCGGGTGTCACCTAGTTGTTCCGAGGTGCCATGTGTCACAATATCATTGGAGGGCCAAATCCACCCTCATCATTTAATTGGCGCCGTCTGTGGGAAACACTACAAAAAGCTAAGTTCTCACCCTCTGAAAGGCCAAGTCCTTTTCTTCCAAAAAGCTAGTTCTCACCTTTTAGAAACTAAAAGCTCTCACTTTCTAGTTTCCATTTTTTATGAACTCAAAGACTATGCAGGAAGTTGATGGCCAACAGACTAAGCAGCTCTACCAACTTTATTTCAACTCAGATAAAGTCTCATCAGTCCTCTTCGCGAGGTACCCTCTACAAAGATGAGCTTTTCATGGCTTCTGCGGGAGTAGGCGGCCAACGGACTACATGGACGCCCTTGCCGGTCGAGCCTTCCAAGGCTCCCGTGCGAATTGGTGACCTAAAGTCAGTAGTGCTGCCCTCGTAGGTCGAGATCCTAGTAGCTTCTTGTAGGAGTGGGTAACCGACGTCACTAACGAGGCTGATGCAGCGAGCCGTAGCTTTAAGGCGCGACCTGGCAGCCTGGCCCTGAAGACTTGACCTAGGCGCCGACTTAGCATCCTAGCCCCGGCGCGAAGTGCCGAACTGATAAAAGACATCGGCACTACGATAAGTCCCAATCGCCTCTTCAGCATGGGCACATAAGTCCCAGTCGCCTCCTCGGCATGGGCACATAAGTCCCAATCGCCTCCTCGGCATGGACACATAAGTCCTAGTCGCCTCCTCAGCATGGGCACATAAGACCCAGTCGCCTCTTCGGCATGGGCAAAATCAAAGATCAAGGAGAGTGGACTACAAGTCGCTCCCAGAGCTTAAGGGCTAAAGTGCCGAACTGGCAAAGACTTCGGTACCACATAAGACCCAGTTGCCTCTTCGGCATGGGTGAAATCAAAGATCAATGAGAGTGGACTATGAGTCGCTCCCGGAGCCCAAGGGCTAAGGTGCCGAGCTGATAAAAGACCTCGGCACCACATAAGTCCCAGTCGCCTCTTCGGCATGGGCATACAAGTCCCAGTCGCCTCCTCGGCATGGGCACATAAGACCCAATCGCCTCTTCGGCATGGGCAAAATCAAGGGTAAGGAGAGTGGACTGTGAGTCACTCCCAGAGCCTAAGGAATTGAATCGACGCTTACGAACTCATCGAATTAGTCATTTCAGGCCAAAATGAGCAAATATATTCCCTTCGCCGAGTTACTTTCAGCTCGGGAGTGGGGGCAAATGATGAGGGCAGATTTGGCCCTCCAATGATATTGTGACACATGGAACCTCAGAACAACTAGGTGATACCTGGAACCACTTTGGCAACAACTTGCCTTAGCCAAGTTGATGATGTCCCACCTGGCAGCTTGGCACAGGCGCGAACTGGCAGACTAGCCCTATGCAAGCTAGCAACCTGGCACTGGCGCGACCTGGCGGCCTGGCCCTAGCAAGACTTGGCCCTTGCGCGAGCTGGCAGCTTGGCACTAGCGCGACCTGGCAGCCTAGCTTAGGCGCCGACTTGGCGATGTGGCACATGCGCCGACCTGGCAACTTGCAAGGCGTGCTCACCGATGAATTCGACATGCATATCCAAACACTCCCACGATCCTTAGAAGTTGGCTCACATGCCGAACGATCCGGAGGGTGGTCAACGTGCATGGCGGTTACCTCAGGGAATCTCAGACCACTTAGATAACTTCTCAGAAATCTTGGATATGGTGCGTGAAGTCCACGCCAAACAATGCCTATATAAAGGCACCAATCCCAATGACATGGGGGGCAAGTAAGCATATTTTAGCTCTCATACTTTGTGACTTTTAGCTCGTAGTCTACTATGAGAGTACTGACTTAAACATCGGAGCGACCTCGCCGGGTTAGCCACCCCGGGTCCTCTAACATTGATTCCTTGCAGGTCTCTAAAGAACTACGAAGCTCAACAATCAATCTAGCTCGACAACTAATAGGCAGCTCGGCCCTCTGGTCAGCTCAGCACCTAATAGGCAGCTCGGCCCTCTGGTCATCTTGTCACCTAACCTGCCTAGCTCGGCCCAGTCAGCTCGTCACCTAACCTGCCTAGCTCGGCCCAGTCAGTTCGGCACCTAACCTACCCAACTTGGCCCAATTAAATCGGCACCTAATCTGCCCCTAGCTTGGCCTGGTCAGCTCGGCATCCAGGTCCTCATCCAGCAAAAATTCACTTCGGCCTCTGAATCATCGGCCATTTAAAAGCATACTAAATGACGGGGTACTTAGCACAAAAAATTGATACATGACCAAAAATTGATTCATGAGGGAGTTAGAAATTGGTCTCAGAAAGAGGGATTGATGCGAGGACCAAACCTAATGTATCTTATAGTAAGGTGGGAAAACAAGTTGGTGGTGATCACAGAAAGTCATGCGGTGGAAGCAAGGAGGGACTTCCTACGGAAGTATTTGGTGGGGAGATTCGGATGGGGGGTGGAAGCTAGAGAGGTGGAACCATGGGTGGCTAGAATGTGGAGGGGGGTGTAGGGAGTTAGGGTGAAGAAGATGGCAGATGACTTATTCTTATTCATCTGTCCTTCAAGAGCTGAAGCGGAATGGATCTTTGCGCCAAGGGCCGTGGCATATGGACAAAAATCCTCTTCTTCTGGATCGGTGGGGTGCGAGTGCGGGGTGCTTCTACCCGGAAGTTGAAGCTGAGACGGACTGTTCGGATTCCATTTGGATTAGGGTCTTTAATGGGTTAGAATGAAGGTCCATCGAGGTGAAGATATTCCGAATAGGGTGGCGGTGGCGGCTGGTGAATCCCTGTTCTCAGTTCAAATCTGGCCTGAGCTCTTACCGACGGTGAGTAGATGGAAAGGGGGAGAAAGGGGGGGTCGAAATTCCGCAGGTGCAGAGGAAAATGAGTTCGGATACTGCAAAGTCCCTAATGTTGGAAGGTGTGGACGAGTCTCCTCAGATGTAGACCCCCTGTAAAGAAACCCAAGCTAATCCTGGCTCGCCTACGCATTTTCCGGCGACTGGAGATGGAGAAGAAGAGGAACGGACGCTCTGTATTCTGAAGCGTCCGATCACGGATGAGATGAAGGGTCAGGATGGGCCTTTTAGAAAAAGCCCTGATGCTGGATTTCAAATTTCAGAAGAAGGGGTGTTTGGGCGGGGGCGGGGGCTGGGTTTAAAGGAGTTAAAAGATATTATTAAGGAGTGCATGAGAGAGCTAAACATGGCCCCCTTAGAGGATTTTGCACCGAAGACTAGTAAAGACAAGTGTTATAGCACGGTCTTCGAGTCCTGCTCGGGTCAGGAGACTTTATTAGGAAATCAAAAAACCCAGTTAAATCATTCACACCTGTGTAAGGGCCAATCATGGGGGTCAACTGTTGGGCCTGGGCCGAAAGCATTAAGTGAGCCCAGGTCCCTCTTCGGAAGGAAAGAAGTCTTTAGTTCTGGGCTTGGGAAGCCCATTAGCTTCAGTCCTATCTCTAATGCAGCAGAATTTGGGCGCATGCAAATGTCGCAGGGGGTGGAGCCAAACGGCAGGGGCAGTGATCTTTGAGAGGCGGCCAGCATATCAGCTCCTTGTGCTCACGTTCTCCTCAACGACGAGTGAGTTCTAGCCTAGAAGTGCAAGACTTGATAGTGGCGAGAATGGAAGATAACATTGTGGAAGCAGAGCCTATTGTGGTGGTGGATTCTACTGATTCGGTGGAAGAGAGGGGAGAGGATTTCCTTCAGAGAAGCGGTGAGGAAGGGAGGGAGAGAGCCAATGATTCCTGGAAGTTAAATGAAAGTGCTGTTTAGGTGAATGACTTCAAAGGTAAGACTTCCAATCTGTTGCTTCAGGGTGGTATGCAGCCTGACAATCCGTCTTCTGCTTGGGTTACCTCTAAACTGCTGTGCTTGGGCAAATTCTTGGGTGTGTTGATGGAGGGGTTGGAGGATGAAACAATCGAGTTCTTGGAGGGGATTGAGCTAGGGTCCTGTTGGAGAGAGGGAATCTTGCGGCTAAGAAAGGGGGAGCAAATTCGAAGAGGAACAGGGAAATGACGAGGCTAATTTGGGGGCTGAATGGCAAGGCGAGGTGTAGTGAGGGGATGGCGAGAGGAGGGAAAAAATTTTGAGCTCAGGTTGGGGGGTTTTTGTTGTTTTTGCTTATCATGGCTCAAATGGATCTGAAAATTCTATCATGGAATGTCAAAGGTTTGTGCTCGGGAAGAAGGAGAGTTGTGGTTTGTGCTTCCTTGAAGAAGTCGGGCTCGAAGTTAATTATGCTGCAAGAAACCAAATTGGAGTTTATGGATGCTGCTATTGTCAGAAGTATCTGGGGAGAGGGTGAAGTCAGGTGGAAAGCTAAAATGGTTGTGGGTAGCGCAGGGGGTTTGGTGACTCTTTGGGACCCCTCTTCCTGTAGTCTTGTTTCTGCTCAGGTCGCTAATTTCTCAGTTTCAGTGTTGCTGAAATTTACTAATGATGAGGTCTGTCAGGTTACAAATGTCTATGGCCCTACAGATAGAAGCCGTAAGAGTGAATTTTGGGAGGAATTGGCAGGGGTTAGAGCCAATTTGTCCATCCCTTGGGTGATTGGAGGTGACTTTAATATCTGCCTTTCTGCCGAAGATAAGAGTACTAGGTGTAGGAGATCTAGAGAGATGCTCCAGTTTGCAGACTTTATTAACAGTTTTGATTTGTTGGATCTTCCTCTTCAGGGTCATCGGTTCACTTGGACAAATAATCAAGATTCCCCTACTTTGGTGAGGCTAGATAGATTCTTGGTCTCTCAAAATTAGGAGTTGTTTCCTGATTTCAGATAGGTTGCTCTCCCTAGACCAGTTTCTGACCGTTGCCCAATTCAGTTGATTTGTGGTTTCAAGACAAAGTCAAAGCTCCATTCAAATTGGAGAATTGCTGGTTCGAAGAGGCAAATCTAACTCAAATTTTGAAGGATGTGTGGAATGGGTTGCAAGTGGAAGGTACGGCTTCGTATATCCTGGCAAGAAAACTTGGAGCAGTTAAAGAGAAATTAAAAATCTAGAGAAAGGAATTTTCCTTGAAGTCAGAACTCAAAAGCGTGGCCTTTTGAGTATCATTGAGGAAGTTGATTCAGCTGAAGAGGTTGGCACTATTTCTGAAGAAAGCAGGCTGAAGAGATCCCAAGCAAAGCTAAGATATGACAAATTGGCAATGGAGGATGAAATTAAGTGGAGGCAGAGGGCTAAAGTGAGGTGGCTGAAAGAGGGGGACAAAAATACCTATTTTTTCCATAAGATGGCAAATGCCTGGTCGAGGGCATCATCTATTTCTAAGCTGGAATGGGAAGGTAAGGTTGGGGTTTCTGATGCGGAAATAAAGGGGGTAGCAACAAGTTTTTATAAAAATCCCTACACAGAATCTTGGGCTCGTAGACCCTTCCCCAGAAATCTCCCTTTTAAGCAGTTAAGTGGCGATCAAAAGTTATATATTGAGAGGCTTTTCTCGGAGGAGGAAATCAAATATGCTATTTTGTTGTTGGCAGCTGATAAGTCGCCTGGCCCGGATGGTCTTACCAATTTGTTCTACATCAAATGTTGGGACACTGTTAAGCAAGACATTATGAATGTTTTTCAGGCTTTCCATGATAATGCCTCTCTCCAAAGAAGCTTGAATGCTACCTTCATCATTCATATCCCAAAAATTGAAGGGGCTGTAAATGTGAAAGACTTCAGGCCAATCAGCCTCCTTCACAACTTTTATAAGATTCTGGATAAAGTCCTTGTTAAGAGAATGAAAGGGGTGTTAGGAAGTGTCATTTCTAACAATCAAAGTGCCTTTGTCCCTGGTAAGCACATGCTTGATTTGGCCTTCATTGCTAGTGAATTAATTCACTCAAGAAGAAGAGAGGGAGTTCCAGGTTTAATATGCAAGTTAGATATTGAGAAGGCTTATAATCATGTTAACTGGAGGTGTATTTACTCAGTCCTACAACAAATGAATTTTGGGCAGAAGTGGAGAAATTGGATTAAAGTGTGTACTACCTCTCCTAAGTTTTCAGTGTTGATCAATGGGCAATCAACAGGCTTTTTTGAAAGCTCTAGGGGGCTGAGGCAGGGGGACCCTCTATCTCCTTTGCTTTTTATCTGTGTAATGGAAATTTTGACCCTGTTTTGTAAGAGGATAGCTGATGATGGCAGTTGGGAAGGATTTGCTATTTGTTTGGGGGGAGAAAAGGTCAATATTGTCCAGTTTGCTGATGACACCTTGTGCTTTATGGATGCATCCCCGTCCCAATTGAATCTCATTCTTGGTATTTTAATATGGTTTGAAGTGGTTTCTGGGCTGAAGGTGAATTTGAACAAAAGTTCTATCATTCCAGTGGGGCATGTTTGTAATTTAGAAGAGTGTGTTGAGGTTTTGGCCTGTAAGACTGACTTTCTTCCTGTGAAGTATTTGGGTCTCCCTTTGGGGGCTAACTGGCTCTCTTCCTCGATCTGGGATCTAGTCATTGAGAGAATGGAGAGAAAACTTTCATCTTGGAAGGCTAAATACCTTTCTTTTGGAGGAAGGGTAACCTTGATAAAAAATACACTCTCAAATCTACCAACTTATTTCTTATCCCTTATCCCTATCCCAGTTGGTGTTGCTAAAAGGCTGGAGCAGCTTTAGAGAAATTTCCTTTGGAGGGGCTGGGAGGAGGATAATAAGGTTCGTCTAGTCAATTGGGACCAAGTCTGTCTCCCTAAAACTGAAGGTGGGCTAGGAATAAGGAAATTGAAGAATTTCAATACTGCTCTTTTGTGTAAATGGATTTGGAGATTCTCGGCTAAGAGAAATGCTTTGTGGAGATCTCTCATTGCTGAAAAATATGGGGTTGATTGGGGAAACTAGAGAACTAGAGATCCCCCTCCTAATTGGGGCAATTCTCTGTGGAAAGGAATTATGAGGAACTTTCCTATTTTCGGGGAAGGGATTTCTGTGATTGTGGGTAAAGGTGATAGAACTAAATTCTGGAAAGATAAATGGTGTTTAGAAAGCCCCCTTGCAGGTTCCTTCCCTCAGCTTTTTAGATGTGTAGTTAATCAAGAGGCTACTGTGGCTGATTACTTATCTTTGATTGAGAATTCAGTTACTTGGTCCCCCTCTTTTAAGGAGAAATTTGTTTGATTGGGATCTGGAAGAATTCTTGGAGCTGATGTCACTTCTGCTTAATTAGAAGATTGGTGTGCTTGGGGAGGATATGTGGTTCTAGAAATGGAAGCAGGATGGTTTTTTTTTTTTTTGTGAAGTCCATGGCTGATAAATTATGTAACGTGGGGCTTTCTGAGTTCCTAGCTGGGCAGATCTGGAATCCTTTGAGTCCTTCAAAATCCAACTTTCTGGTTTGGACGATGGCCCTTAACAAATGTCTCTCCAGGTCTAATTTGTTGAGAAGAGGTATTCCAATTCTGGATTCAAATTGTGTTCTATGTGGGACTGCTGCAGAAACTACAGAGCATTTATGTCTTCATTGTCCGTTCTCCTTTCAGATTTGGATGCATTTTCTTAAAGCTTTGAGTGCTAAGTGGGTCTTGCCAAAATCAGTAAAGGATCACCTTTGTTGCTGGAAGTTGAAGGGTCTAAGCAATAGAGGGAAGCTAATGTGGAAGACAATCCCAGCTGCTGTCCTGTGGTCCATTTGGGCTGAAAGGAATAGTAGAATCTTCTGTAATAGGTCTAAGGGTCTTGATGATGTAATTCAGAGAGTTGTGGGCAAGTTGATCTCTTGGATTTCCATTTCTAGGGAATTCAGAGATCTTGGCATGCCTGTTTTGTTTCAATCTTGCTCCTGGTGGAGGTTGTAATCCTGGCTGCTTTTCAGACTGCCTTCTAGGGTCTGATTTGTAGTTTGCTTTTGTTTCTCTATGCTGAATAAATTTACATTACCTTTTCTAAAAAAGAACAACCAATGATGGATATTTCTAGAGTTTGTATTTTATCCCATCGCTTTCCCGTTAGACTTATATCTTTCTTTTTTCTCTTTTTCTTTTTTTCCTTTTTTACTTTTCTTATGTATTGAAAACTGTATGAACTTAAGTGGTTTTATAATTTTAATAGGACCTTATAAGATATGAACATATTAGAGTGGTATTATAGTTTTAGTTAAGATTGCATGAAAAAAGTCCTGTTTGTATCATAGTTTTCAATGTGCCAAGGCACCCAAGCGATGCAATCTAAAAATATAAGAAGCTTATGGATTTCTACTCCTCCTAAACTAGTTTCTTTTGGTTTTATATATAACCTACAAACTTCATATTGGATGCATCCATACACTAGACTTTTACATGGAGTTGAAAAAACTGTTGTTAGAGTTCCAAATTAGAATGATTGTAAAACCTAACACTTTTAATGGTTGTTTAGGTTCTGTTCGGTTGCCTGCTTCGCTTTGTGGCATTGTTGGTTTCAAGCCAACTTTTGGACGTGTTTCTCACTTAGGGTGTGTTACAACTACTCTATAACTAACATTTTTTGTGGGATTCATTGTTTTTGTTTCAAAGTTCTAAAGTTTTCCTTTGTTGCTTCTCAGTGTTCTTCCTTTGAATTGGACAGTGGGAATGGTTGGAATACTTGCAGGCACAGTTGAAGATGCAATTATTGTGTTAGTTTTATTTCTATAGCAAGCTATTCATTTTGGTTTATTCTTTAGAAGTTGAGACAAATTTATCATCCCTATTCAGCCAAAAATGACATATGCTTCGCTCTTCTTTTATTAATAATAGAATAAAAGAGTAAGCCATAAAATTAAAATTCACTATAAGCATATATCAGTAAAGTCAAAATAATGAAAAGATCCCTTATCTACTTGAAACTGATTCCATACCATTAATTACCAACTAGGTTTTTTAAAAGGAGGAAATTAGGGAGATAACATATGATAGAGAAAAGTGGAAAAAGAGAAGATATCTTTCTACTAGACAACTAGCACTATATATATCTTAAAATAATATTAGGAAAAGTTAGCTTTTATTAGCACCTTGATTCTGGAAATAATTTTTCTTTGTGGCTTTTAGCAACCCCATTAACCTTATGTTAACCTTCAACACCTGTTTAATGTCCTTTTATTTTTTTCCTTTGAGAAGATTAATTAGTTCTTATGTGCAAAATTTTCAACAACAATAGAAGAAATAGACATACAAAATAGAACAGAAGAGATAAAAGCATCATAGAAAGGGGATAATATCTCATAAAACACAGAAGTGGAAATAGGATAGCAAGTATATTGGTGTTACCCTTTGCATAAGATAACAAGCTTAGATCCTTAGACACATATTTATAAAGAAAATTAGGACCAAGAGGATGACTACATAGGATGACCCTATTCAACAAAATTAGAACTAAGGGGATTATATATTTGAATTGAGGAGGGGCAAAAAAGGAAAAAAAATAAAGCAGAATTAGAAGAAAAACAATATAGAAGAGAGTCAAATGGCTTAGTGGTTGGTTGACCCTTTTACTATTTATATATAATCTTTGCATAAGGACTAAAGCACGAGCTTTAGTAAAAGTTTAAATAATTATCTCACATTTGGTATCCTTAGTTTTTAAGATCATAAAGGCTAATTTGCTTTCCTCCCATAAATCTTATACATCATCACTACCATTACATATGTCTGAATAAGAAATATAGAAAAATGAGAATTTTATTCATACAACTTATAATTTACTGGTTGGCCGGGTGGTTTGTCTAATACATCAACTAGTACTCAATTTGTTTTTAATTTATGAGTCTAATTTATGTTTCACCTTTGTAGCTAACAATGATTATTTGTTTTTAGTTATGCAGCTATCAGTGGGAAACTTCCACCAAATCAACCCACTACTTTATTGGTATAATATATTTGCATTCTTTTCTCCAAAGTTCAATTTCTTCCTCTACCATGTTGAATATCTAAATCAATATTTTTTTTTGGGGGATAATTTGAGCACATTCCATTTTTGATAAATTAGGGCACATCCCTATTGAAAAAAATAGAGAAATCCATGTTTATTGTAATAAGGGAGTAGTACCCAATCAATTAGAATGAGTGTCTCTCATTGACTTGTAGGAGAGATGAATAGTTTAACAATTTTTGCTTTGGTTAACTTTTGCAGTAATTGTGATTTTACACTACCTAATATTTTATTTACATTTAAAAGGAATGAATACATTCATAATGTTAAAATTCATATTCTACTATGACAATTCTTTCTTGAATATGTCCTTTACTTCTTTGAATAACCATATGCCATAATTTGCTAATTTTGCTCATGATTTTTGGATCACATACAGCCCAAAATAAATCTACCACTGTTGAAATCTACAAATTCTACTCGATATAGATTGGCAAAGTACACAAAGGTTTGTGATTCTACTATTAGAATTCAATTTATACAAAATTTAAGGTTGTATTTGGATCAAAGTGCAAAAATGGAAGCAAAATATCATCTAGGTTCATCCTACAGGGAGGTTTTGAAGTTAGTAACATCCATCCAAAGGGATTTCATATCCACTAAAATTGGTAGAAATTGATAGTTTCCAATCCTCATCTAATGACAATAAAAAGGAAATGATATCCATTTCCTTATATCCTCAAATTCCATGTCAATGTTCATTAATTAGAATGCCACTTAATTACATGTAATAGTTTGATTACTTGTTCATTTAATAAAATTCATGAATCATGTTCTTCTAATGTTATTTTTATTTCTTTGGGTCAAATAGTGGTTTAATGATTGTAGTGATGACATTAAAAGTTGCTGTAACCAAGCATTGGACCGGCTATATGAGCATTATGGATGGGAGGTATTTAAATGTTTATTAATTCAGTGTTACCCTTATTAGTTCACATTTTTGTCATACTTTATTTATGCTTTTTTAGTGGGCTTATACATCCTTTTATTTATCACAAGCAAAAATTATAGCATATTGCCATAAAAGGGTTGTTTTTAATATTGAAAAGTAACAGAAATCCATAAATATATCCCAATGTTGCTAGTACAATCCTAATTTTCTTAAGCCTTTGTAACATGTAAGACTATAGATGTTACCATACCAGAGATAGAAGTGATGCGCATTGCACATTATCTGACAATCGGTTCTGAATGTTATGCAGCAATTAGTCCTCATCTAAAGAACATGTAGGTTATCTCTAGCAATCGCGTTCTATTTGCCATTTTATTTGATAAAAATATAAAAAGTATGAATACTGATACCACAACCTCTTATTGAACTAGGGATAGAACAGAGTTGGGGTGTGATGCAAGGGTGGCACTTCGATTATACAGTTCTTTCAGTAGTAAAGAGTATTTGATTGCCCAGAGAATTAGGTATCCTATAAACTTTTCTTATATTATTGATTTAAAGTCATGGAAATATCTCAATATCTAGAATTCTGGTAACATGATATTTTCTAATAATGGTCACTGATAAATATTTGTTAATCAATTTAATGATGCATCTAAAAAATTATGTGGTGTACTTTAATCATTAGGCAATATGCTCATAAATTATATTTAATTTAAGTCAAAGGAAAGTTGCTATTTATTATTAATTTTTAAAGGAATATAGCTGTGGAATCCAAATGCATATTTATTTACTCACTTTTTGTTGTAGAGTTTTTCCATTGGAGTTTGATACTACATACTTTGTTAAGGTGTACTTACTAATTTCTCTATGTACAAGCATCATGTTTTTTTAAATAGGTGAAAACCCTTATCATTATAGCAAAATGAATGCAAAGTGGGTTTTCTCTACTAAAAGTGGTTTAAATGTTGTACTTACGAAGGTTAACAATAAATCTAATATAAATCAAATGTAAAACATCTAAGATATCTCAAGCATAACTAATATAGAGACATAAGATGCAATTATAATGGTATAAAACACAATTATGAAGGTGTTAAAAATGCTTGGAAGAACAATACGAAGGTGTGAAATGGCGACATAACTGTGTAAAACACACCCAAGATGTTTGAAACAAAGCAATCAACAGTAGTTGTGTAATCTATAATAAAAAAGAAAGAAAAACTTATCATTTGTGATCAAGGTACGCCATAGCAATATTGTCTTTGAATATGTTTTTGCCTCCTTGTGGGCAATATTCTCAATTCTTTTGTTAATGACTTCCAAACTCTAGTATATAATGGTTAAGCTCAACGAGTTGCTCTATCTGCAGACCAATGGTGAACCTCTAGTATTGTCTATGAGTGAATAAAACAAAAATAAGCAAGAAGCAAATAAATCACAATAGTGTTCTATGTTTCTCCGTTATGTTTTTTTATGTGAAGTAATCTCACACAAAAGACTTATAATAGACTCCAACAAGTGGATGGTTATAACTCCACCACCCTTGACAAATTTGAATAAATCTACAACTCATAAATTCTCCCACAAAAATTCTTTCATTGCAAAAGTAATCCTTAAAAACAAAAAGGAAAAATGAAAATAAAGATAACCTGTGAAGGGGCTACAAACATGTGCATGTGCTCAACATAGCATGGTACGATGCAATGTAGTGGGTTGACATGCATGTATGTGATAGCTTAGTTGGACTTGACCTGACATGTGCATGTGTGTGGGTAACCCATGTAGCTTATAATATTACCAACCTAAGACAAATATTATCCCCACACTCATACGCTCTAGAAAAGTTTATTTACGAAATGTGGGACACAAAGTCTCCCCTAAAATAAAAACAAGAGGGAAAAAGAAAAGACAATGTTTTCATAAAACACAAAACAAAATAAAAAGAAATTGTTCCATGTGAACAAATTCCAACAAGAAACAAAGCAAAATCTACTTTATACTTTTATCTTAAATAAATAAAATTATTTAAAAGTTTGAAACACTAAAATTTAATTAAAAGCTTAAATTTCTTAATACAAAAAGTTCATGGATTCACATATAAGGGAGATATAGATATGACTTCTCATTTTCCAAAATTCAAGACATAAATGTAAATAAGAGTATTCCAAACAGCATGCTACTACCATGTTTTTAGTTTTATAAAATAAGTATCCTCATTTTCACATCATGCAACATCTCCAATATTTAGAAGGTTTATGTAAGAAAATGTTATATGTATATGTATTTAATCAAAGGGAGACTAATAGGACAGAGAGATTAGAGAAAAGATTGTACATAATGGGTTTTAATAAAAAGGGAAAATTTCTTAAACTACCTCTAGGGTTTAGGAAATTAATTAACTATACCCCTATGTTTTAATGTTGTCTTAAAATACCCCTACTTTTTTGAAAATTGTCACACAACTCCCTTCTTGTTAAGTCTCTCTCCCAAACCGTTTACACATGACTTTACGTGTTTGATTTATTTTTAAATTATATACAAAATACCATTTCCGGCAAAGATCACCATCTTCTCTACTCAAACCAGCGGAGGCTAACATTCCATCATCTTCCTCTCCGACTTCTCTCTTTCTCTCCTTTCCTATTTTCCCCTTTTCCTTTCCATCTTTCTTTTCTTCCATTTTATTCTGACAAGAACAACAAATCCTCAACAGTGATCTTCTCTTAATCTTTCCCATCATCACCATTGGCAAGCATTGATAAGGTATGGTTAGATCAGTAGAGGATTTCCTAGGGTTCATGGTATCCACAAACTATTACCATATCCCCATCGGCATTAGTTTTCGCATCCACCTAGGGTTTAGTTGTTGATTCTAGCATCAAATTGGAGACAAACAACTAGTTTTTAATTGAAAAATGAGTGATATAATTCTGGTAGGAGTTAGGCGATCGGAAATACCCATGACTCCAATCCTTGGTTGAGGCCAAGCCATTACCTTTCCCTCTGAAGGACAAAACCCACTCTGTTGACTGGTTATGGGAGGAACACTCTCTATCATCAATCGTCATCGACGTGACAAGAGCATTCATCTTTCCAAATGAGAACAACAAACCTAGCAGCAATGGCGGTGCTCGTCAGTTCACTTTTGGACCTCAATTATTTCCCTAGGTTGAAGGAAACACTACATAGACTAACACCATGAGGTTCTCGAGCTTAGCAGCTAATAGTTCACCAGCTTTTTTGTTCATATCGATGTTAGCTTTCTTGTTGACAATATTAGCAAAATGGCAACCAAAACCCTTGGTCGAAGTCAAGGCGAACATGATCTTTTGTTTCCCATTGACGTTCATGTTCAGAACACCCCTTCAAGATTACCAGAATTTTGAAAAAAAATCATAGGCTTTCCGTTTGTCATAAACAAATTCTTTTGTCGCGGTATTTGCCCGAAGGAGAGCAGACCGTAGTAGGTCTCAGAGGTCTCTTGTACTAATAGTTCACCTATTTTGGTTTGTCCTCCTTCAAAACACCCCTCCAAAATATTTCAATGTCTATCTTTCTCTCCTCATTCTCTCTTTCCCTTCCCTTGTATTGTCATTGTTTCCCTTTCGTTGTATCGTTATTTATTTGATAAACTAGAATTGGTTGACAAGAATTGGTTCATCATTTTTGACATCTTCAAATGAGTTTTGTTTGAAGTTTTCACTTTCAATAAAGTGTCAAAAGTTTCACTTTGAAAATTTAAAGAAGAATAATGGGCAAAATAGTCTTTTTAATCCTTTCATTAATGAATACTGACAATAAGGAAGATTTAGTCAATTATCAAAAACAATAAGAATACTTTAAGATAATACTGAAATAGTAGGGGTATAGTTAGTCAATTTTCTAAACCTTAGGGGTAATTTAAGAAATTTACCAAAAACAACTTTAAGGTTTTATAAAGAGTAAAACCATATAATCAAAACTCACATCGTTTCTTAATTCACCTCCAATTTTGTCAAGTCATCATCTATGACATTCAACCACCTAGTGATCCATCTCAAGATGGTGGTACAAGAAATTAAATGTTGCTTGGTCCCTTCTTAATGTATGTCAAAAACCTCCATGGGTTATTTATAAACCAATACTCTATTCAAAGTCATTATTGCAATTCCACTCAACCAAAAGAAGAGTTTTAATTTATAGTTCTCGTCAAGCTAAAGAGAAGGAATTACTATTGTGGCTACCCGACCTAGAGGGGGGGACGGATTTGTATGGATTTTGGAGTCACCACCTAAATTTTTGGAATTGGGAATTTAGGAAAACCCGGGTTTTTTTCAAGAAAAACATTTTGTTTTCTTGGTGACTCATTGCTCAATGGGGATGAGGTTCTTAGGGTTTGGGGACCAAGGTACGGTGCGGGAAGGTGTTAGGCACCCCACACACGCCCGGTTGAACCGGCCTCTAATTCACCAATGTTCCAAGGAAAATTTTATAATCTTGGGCAATTAAAAGAAAACACACATTGGAACTAAGAAAATGTAAACAAGAAAAAGCACCAGGGAGCATAAGTCACTAAAAAAATCAAGAGAAGGGAAAATGATTTAATGATTAAAGTATGTAAGCTATGGCTACAAGGAAGTGAGAAAATAGAAATTAATGAAATCCTAGTGGCAAGCAATGCAAATGTACTCTAGAATGCAAGACTAGAAAAAGCAACAATAAACACTTAGGGGGGATACTTATATGCTGAATGGATTGCTAACTGGAAAACCAATGGACAATTAAACCATGAAAAAGCTAAATGATTTTGACCAATACTAGGAGTTCCTACCTAATCAAATGTTTATGCATGAGGAATGAAGAAATCTACAACTTAAACTACTAAAACACATACTAGCTGCGATGTTTATTGGTACGAGGGGTTAAATAATAACTACTCAAGACCCTAGATATTGTGATAATGTGAAGGTGAAAGGACTGAACCAACTAATACAATGGACTAAGGGAGGAGAAAGTACACGAGCAATGGATTAGGTGTTTAAGTAAAAGCCTAGACGAGGATTTGAAGTCAACTCACATCAAACCCATTACATGCTGAGAACGTAAACGTTGATAGGGGCAACAATGCAATGAGTTTTGAAAAAAAAAAAAAAAGGAATAACCGCAATGCTTGTTGAAAGAAAAAAGAAAAAGAAGCTAAAAATAAAAAGAAATAGAAAAAGAACGGACAGATTGGAAGAGTGGGATTGGATGTCCAATATAACAAGCTAAATAACTAAATAATTAAATAAACTTGGACCTTCACTCTAAAATTTAAAACAGAAAAGGGAGAGATGAGATTTCAGTTAAAACATGTTCAATGCTAAGTGTAAAAGAAGTGAAAGTGATGCTGATGCCGAATGTCGATGCTAAGGATAGATGTGCTAAAATTCTAAAGTGGTTTACATGATTAAAACAAAGAAAATGAATGCATGCACACAACCATTGAATTTGAAAATTAGTATATAGCTATAAGACAAAATAGAAGTTATAAAAGACACGGATAAAGAAGAGTGTGGGAAATCAGATGCAATCCATGAGATTATTGTCTTTGCACAGCTAATATGCTAATTCTACTAAACTACTTCCAAGAAGAAAACTGAGAACAGAAATTGTCTAGAAAACAACTAATGTAATCGATGCAATATAAATGGTATGAACATCAACAACAAGAATAGGTAAATCAAGAAAATTTAAAGAAGTGAACATATCTGGAATGACAAAGGAAAGGAAGAACTCCATGCGCATTGCTTGGTCCAGCCACCATTATCTTTAATGTGTATCAACTTCTAACTTCAGTTGTTTACCATGCCTCTTGAGTGCTATAGGTTATGAAGAATGTGCCCCAAATTATGTAGATGATCCACTGAAAGTATGTGGTGCCGTTGTTTCAAACATGCTTCATGCTTTCTTCCTTGACAATTTGTGCTTTGGACTGATACTATTATGGAGGGACCCAAGGGACGTGATAGGAGGTGGGGAGTGAGTTTGGGACGTGAAGGGGGGTATTCTTTGGGCTAGTGAGTGTAGGATCATCTCTCTAGGTTTTTCTTCTGTGTGTTTTGGATGTGAGAAATGGGTGGTATTTATAGATTTTTTGAGAGGGGAATGGAGGGCTGAGATGGAAGATAAGGAAGATCAATGGCTGATGTTTGAATGGATCTTGGAGGGAGATTGATTGAGATAATGGGTTCTCAAGACAGCTTTGTGAGGGATTCTCTCAATCAATCCAGACAAAGAGTGAAAGATTTCATCAATTTACCTAAACTGGACATTCCAAGTTTAGGTGATTGGCTTAATTGATTGGAAGCCATAGCTGGTCAAATCTTAGATTTTTAAGATGTTTCTATAGAGGCTGAGGGGAGGTTTGGGTCGTGGAATGCCCTAGGTTCGAAGTTATTGTGAAGAGGATTCTAAACGAAGGGCCTGGATCGGGTCTAGCTTCGAGTCTTAAGATAGAGGGGCTAATGGTGTCGGAATTGGACGATCTTGGTACCGTTGGACTCAGAATTTCGAGCTCTATCCATCTATAAGGTTGGATTTCAGATTTTATGGGGGTTAGGATTTCGGGATCAGAGATGATCTCGATTGGACGGTCGAAATCGGTTCCAGTTTCGGGTCTTGAGATGAAGGGGCAAGCGGTGTCAGATTCGGGTGATCTTGATGTCGTTGGATTTGGATTTTTGGGATCTATGTACCTGTGGTCGCGGATTTTGGATTTGATGTGAAATGAGGATAAGGTTTAAAATGACTCCAATCGGACGACCAGAATCGGTTTCGGCTTCGGGTCTCAGGATGAAGGGGTAAACGGTGTTGGATTTGGGTGATCTTGGTGTCGTTGGATTTGGATTTTCAGGCTCTATGTATCTATAGTTTTGGATTTCTGATTTGGTGTGAAATGTGGTTTAGGTTCAAAATGACTCTGACCGGACGATCGGAATCGGTTCCGGCTTTGGGTATAAAGATGAAGGGGCAAACGATGTTGGATTTGGGTGATCTTGGTGTCGTTGGATTTGTATTTTCAGGCTCTACGTACCTATAGTTTTGGATTTCTGATTTGGTGTGAAATGTGGTTTTGGGTCAAAATGATTCTGATCGGATGATCAGAACCAGTTCCAACTTTGGGTCTAAAGATGAAGGGGTAAATAGTGTCGGATTTGGATGATATTGGTGTCATTGGGTTTGGTTTTTTGGGCTCTATGTACCTATGGTTTTGGATTTCTGATTTGATGTGAAATGTGGTTTTGGGTCAAAATGACTCCAATTGGACGATCGAAATCAGTTCCGACTTTGGGTCTAAAGATGAAGGGGTAAACAGTGTCGGATTTGGGTGATATTGGTGTCATTGGGTTTGGTTTTTGGGGCTCTATGTACCTATAGTTTTGGATCCTTGAGTCCCCAACTTTTGTAAAATTCCAAAAATACCCCCAAGTCGACCACGGGGTTAGCTGAAGCATGCTTGAAGCTCAAAGTGCTACAGAAAGACTGAAGAGTGCAAAAATGGAGTGTCTACAACTATCTTCATAGAATTAAATGCTCCAATAGGATACTATAAGATTAGTAATTGTATTTGGCACTATTGAATGTTAGGGGAAACCAATGATTTTTAGAAAGAATTAAAACTAAAGATCGTAAATATATAAGGTGTGTCACAGAAGGTTTTCTAGAGATTTGTGACTTGAGAAAAATAGAAACAGAAATACTACGACTTTAGGAAAATGGTAGTGATACATTAATGGCAATGGTCTTAAAAAAACATAACCTTCAAAAGACATACATTTACAAACTAATTTTCTTTTTGTAAGAAAATTTATTGGTCTCAACCATGGTACAAAAACATGTTTTATAGTACCAGTGTCATAAAAGAAACCTTGAGTTATGAATTCTATAATGCAAACATTGTAATATAGTTCATGTGTTTCTAATATTGATGTTGTAAGTTGCACTAACCTATAAAGCTTAAACTATGTTTCATAGAATCTTTACTATTAGGTAGAAAATGCCCCCCTTGATTCTGTAAAAGCATTAATCTTAAGTTTTAACATTTTTGGAATTAATTTTGACATAAAAAACTGAAGTCTATAGTACATATTTAATTATTAGTCATCATATGTTTATTTGTGATTTATGTAGATCTTTAAATATATGCCAATGTTATATAATTTATGTGCTACAATGTAACTAAATTCTTGTATTCTAGTGTATTAGATTTGATTTTAATATTCAACGAACTAAATTAGCCATCTAAAATTGGCATAGTTTATAATTAATCCTTTTTTTGTAGTCACTATTTGTATATTTGTGATTCATGTGATTCTTAAAACGTGTCCCAATGTAATACCATTATTGTATAATCTTTGGCAGGAATCGCCAGATGCAGTTCTATATGTCCATCTTTAAAAGGGCAGATGTCATTGTTACGCCTACCACTGGGTATTTATTTTTGGGTTATTATTATATCATGGGTTTTGATATCAAAGTGTTTCACATTCACACATAGTTGGAATCCTAGTAATCATTTTAATGTTAGTCTGCAATGCCAAAGAGCTAAAACTTTATCCATAAAGACACTAGAGGAGAGATCTCAAAATATTTTCTTTTCATGTTCTAAGACTCTGTCATATGTATAAAATGGCAAAAATGTCACATTCTTCAAATATGTTTAGCTTACTATAAAACTTTTAGGTGGATAGTATAGTCTACCTACTTATACAATTCATTGTTTCTTATTTGATTCTTTATAATATAAAAGAAAATTAATAATAGTGAAATGTTTTTGTTCATTGTTACTCCCTCAAATTTTAAATTTTTTATTTATCAAAACTTCTTTTTATAATAGGATAACCGCATACCCAATTGATGATAATGCTCTAAAATATGGTGACTTTGACTATAAAAGCGGAGGTATGTAGCATCTAACACAATATTTCCCACCTTACTATGTTGAGTTCTAATTAATTGAAGACAATACAATTTGATACCCTTCATATGATTTTACCCCAAACAATTTATAAATGAATAGGGCGTAAATTTACCATTGAAATTTAACTCATTTGTCATTATCTCAGCTTCACTTGTACAATATCAAACAGCAGGAAATTTTCTTGGGTTACCTGCTATATCAGTTCCGGTAATGTGTTTTTCTTTTTTCACATGAAAAAAGTAATTAAGTACTATTAATTTGCAATGAAAAACCCTTATTATTACATTATTTGAATTTCTTTTGGTAGGTTGGATATGATAAGTTGGGGATGCCTATTGGACTTCAGTTTATTGGCAGACCATGGTCTGAATCAACATTGCTCCATTTAGCTTTTGCATCACAGGTACATAACCATCTAGCTCTCATTCATTTTCATATATTTGTCTATTATTTATGTAATCATATCAAGAGAAATAATGATTTACAAGTAGATTGTTGACGTAATAGTAATGTAATTCTAATTACAACTATAATTTATGTTGAATTAGATGTATATTGAAGTCATTGGTCCATCATACTCCATTATGTTGTGAACATATCAGTCACCATAAGTTAGTAGTATAATTTATATGGTATAGTATAGGAAACCAAACGATTTATCTATAGAATAGTTGTTTAATACCATATAGTCAAGTGAATAATTTATTTTGTACTATAGTTAAAACTGCATAATTTCACTTGCATCCATACACAGATAACCCAAGTTATATTTCATATTGTTTTTTAAGTAAAACTTATATTCGAAATGTAGGTAATTAGGAATGTATGCTCCCATGGAATTACTTTAGAATGTTTGAGATAACTTTATAATTTTATCGAATTGTGAAGTTAACTTAAAGTTGAGTAGTTCAAGCAAAATAATCTGAAATTTGAATCAACTTGGCACTAATACTTTTCGGTTTAACTATATAAACGTGATTCACCCTATTCAAATGCTAGTTCCAAAAGAGATGCTAATGAATATAGTGGAAATGGATCCCTTAAGAAAAGACAAAAAAATGTTGAAATGGGAGGGTGGAAGAGATATGAAGGTATAAGGGTAGATTACCTAGAAATTTATGGTTGTTCCTTTTGGGATGGGCTCAAAAAATCATTACTAGTGTCTCAATGAGACAATAACTAATATCCAACATGCATAATTTCATTCAATGATTATAAACTTCCTTGCATTTATTCCATACAATCTAATTATAAAAAATAAATTATTAATAGTATAATTATAAGCTAAGAAATCATTGCTTTCACATTGATAAAAGGAAGCTTATGTTACAATTGTTGATATCTAGAGTGAAGACACCATTAACATCAATATGTTATGTTATTATGTTATTATACCTATTCTATAATCTATACCCAATAATATTATGCATCTCTTATACCCACAAGGTGACATTGGTGTTTTTCTTTCATTGGTTTTGTTTCTTAATTCACTATGGGCCACAAAGTCATTGAACTGGCAATGCCAATGCAAGTACTTTCCATCAACTTGATGCAACAAAGTTCCACTTCCACTTTTAGTGCAATTTATTGAGATTCATAACATATTGTTTAGAAAATTTCTAAAATTGATATCAAATCATATAAAAGACAAACTAAAGTACAATTTAGACAAGACAATCATGTAGTTGTATCTTACCCATCAAAACTAAGGCAAGATATAATTGTCACCATATTTTTAGATCACTCTCCATGTATATATGCATTTGTGATTCATTTATCTACTATTTCCACTGAACTTTTCTAGTTATTAATCCAATGACTTGTTGATGTTAATGCTAGGTCATGAGTATTCCAATTTACAAAAAGCCGAAGGTTTTCTATAATCTTCTCAACAAGAGAGAGCTACTATGAATTGCAAAACAACAGATAATAAAAGAATACGAGGTTAACAGAGATAACAAAAATATGTTCATGTATAGAAGGCTTCTGTTAATCCATTTTCTTTATGGATTTACCTAATAATAAGAAGGAAACAAGTTTCTGAAATTGTTCGATTTTGTGGATCTACCAAGAGATAACAAAGCCCAGTCTACCCCTTCGAAGATCTCAAATAGGTAGGACCAATATTGGGTATTGTCCTTTTTACAAGTGATAACAAAACTACTTGGTTCAAGTGTTGGATAAAACTACTTAAAGTTTGGTTGTCTAAGATCATGAACTTCATCCATTAGTCATTTGGTTTTTCTTTTGTCTTTCTTTATTTCTATTCTTACATGTTAACTTCTCTTTGTTTATCTTCTAACTCTTGAAATAAAGCAGCAAATCTCTTGCAAGCTGTCAAACTTTTTGTTATTATAGTTGTTCTAACATTTTCATCACAGTAACAAACTGAGCTGATTGCAAATGCTAGATATTATAATGTTATTTATTAATAAAATAAATCCATTTAATTGATAAAAAGTTCTTATTGAGTATTACAAGTTCTATTGCAAAAGCCATTTACAATGAGTTTTTTAACTTGTTACACCGTTATTGGCCATTCACTTTCAATTGTCAGTTATTTGATGTGAACATTCTTTCAATGTTTAATTCCACATTTACTAAAAACATATAGTGCATTCGATAAGGGTTATAAAAAAACGGTACAAAAAATGAAGCAGATGTATATGTATAATATTTAAATAAATTCATACACAAATCCTATATTTATGGTCTCATATTTTACCAAATCAGTCTAATTCACACCAATGCTTAATCTTGAATAATTTCTAAATATTTTGGAATCTTAAATTATGCAATTTGGTAGAATTTAAAAGGAAACATCAATGAATATAGTATACATAATTTACTATGACTCCTTTCCATCCAATGTTGCAAATGCATGCTTTTGTATATAGAAACAGTAAATATTAAGGCTATGTTTGGATTTGGGAGGAAATGGAAACTCATAGTGCAAAAAGATTCATGAGATCTACTCTATTATTCAGCTCTAGAAAAAGAACTGAGTTAAACGTAAAGATGTGCAAAACTCGTAGTTGCTTTTTTTAGGGCTTCACTAATTTGCACCAATTTCCACTTCCACCCTGCTATCCAACACAGCCTAAGGGGGCATTCATTTCCTCTTATCTTTTAACTATGACAGTGGCATCATACCAATTTCAAAGAAAGAGAGAGAAAGTGTTCAGTCCACTTTTTATTCAGACTTGATGTATGGGGTGATATCAAAATATCTATTTTTTACTTTCCAAAAATATCCCTATTTCTTCCTTTCACATATGAGAGCCCCCATTTCCTCCTTTTATAGATGTATACTATTTACTATATATCATGGTCTAACTAGTCTTGATGATATGCGATATGGTGCTCCTTGCTGGAGTACAGTTCGGACATCGGGCTAACGAGGTCGCCTAGTCGAGCTGCAAGAAAAGGATGCCAGAGTGTCCAGGGTGCTTTACCCGATGTAGATATTCCGATGCTTAAGTTAGCAATTTGGAGGTTTTTGAGAGAGATGAAAGCAATATAGCTTGAGATTTGAGAGAGCTAAGTCATGTGTACTTTGTAAGGTTGGAGGCAAGGCCTTTATATAGGCAAGCTACTGTGGGCCTCACGATGCGTGTCTGAGATCCTCGACCCGTTTGACCAGGAGTTGGTTTCGCACTTGAAGATGGACTCTGCATAAGCTGATAAGGCTTATCCAAGTCCATCCAAATCGGGGGGGGAGAATAACTCCATTGGCGTGGTGTCATGATCCCTAAGAGATCGGAGACAGTTGGCTTGCTTCTAGATTGAGGTTACGTGGCACCTTTGCAGATCGGTGCATATAGTTGAGCTACTCGAGCCTCGGTCTAGCTGGGTGATCCGAGGTGCGCGAGGTGACTACGATCACTGAGGTCGTTGAGGTGTCACCACATCACTCTGTCATTTCACGTGTCATCACATCATTTGACAGGCTAAATTATCCCTTATCAATTGCCCCCCACTCCCGAGTCCGGCATGGTAAACTCGGAGCATGAGTATCACTGAGCTAAGGAGATTCGGCTCGTACATCGGCTCAGCCATGGTTCAACTAATGGTTCAGATCTAATCGACTCCATTGGTTCGACCTTGGGGGCGAGGTCGTGTCTCGGACACGCATGAACATTATGTAAGCATTAAGCTCCGCGGACGTAAAAAACGCGCTCAACTTTTTTGCCTCGGAATATGAACAATCGCACCCTCGGGAACCGTTGGATCTATTCGATCTGGTCCGTCCATTGCTTGGCTTAGACGGTTATAAATAAGGACCTTGGGGACTCATTTCTTCTGTTCCAACTGAGTTTTGGTGCATATTGAGGTCATGGAGCACGGTGTTATCAGAGTTTTTGATCAGGTCAGTGAGGTCGGTCATTTTGTTCCTTAGGTGAATCGTCTTCCCTTGCATTTTCCATTATGTCTAGTGGTGAGTCTAGTGAGGAGAGAGGGCAGCTCGATTGGGCCGAGGAGGAGTCCTCGGTCCAGGACCGACGTGGTTCCCATAAAGGGTCTTCGCCTTCTCATCGGCCATCTAGGGCCAGGATACCAAACCACTTCGGTTCCACTAAACTTTTTGTCGATGAGATCTATAAACTCGCGGCTCGGTATAGGATCCCTGACCAATTTGGTTATTCCCTTTCACTTGGGGCGTTTCCTTGGGAGCAAGACGAGGACGAAGTTGTCATTTTCGAGGAGGCTCTAAAGGCAAGTCTCTGGTTTCTTCTCCACCCGTTTATCCCTGAGGTCTTAAACTATTATAGCATTAGCCTCTGTTAGTTGCACCCAAACTCAATTCGTACTTTGGTTGGTACAATATCCCTTTGTCATCATATCGTCCTTCCCCTAGGTATTAGGACATTTGTCAGCCTCTGCTAAATAAAACCAAATCCCGTTAGCACCTCGGGTAAAGTTAGTTACTACTTGTCTTACCGACCCGAGTACAAGCTCTTACACGACTTCCCTTCCAAAGTATCGGCCTAGAAGAGGAAGTATTTCTTCCTTGAGTTGCCTGGTGGATGGTCGTTCTCGACGTCTTGGAGAGAGGGGGTGAGAGACTCTAGGGATGAGACCTTGAGCGAGTAAGTGCAGGCCAGAGTGCGGAACCTTGTGGACTGCCAATTGATGCTAAGTGACTTCTTGGCCGAGGAGAAGCTGATCCAGGCTGGGTTGAGTCCTTTGGGTAGGTTTTCATCTCAGGTTTGGGCATTCCCTTTAACTCTTAGGCTTCTCATGTAGGAGACATGTCGAGCATACCAACTGTCAAGCTACTTCAAAACATGAGGAGGTAGAAGAAGATAAAGGTAGCCATTCAGGGAGCATCTCGAGCATTGACTCCTGAGCCTATAGTATTGAGTGTTGTCGAAGTGGTCCCGATGGTTGACCTGGTCGGAGAAGATCAGCCGAAGAGGACCTCACTAGATTGAGGCAACCCAGACATCCAAGGGGTGATGTCTACCACCCAGGGCCTCGGTGACCAGTACTTCGGATGCAGAGGATGTTCTTGAGGGGAGGCAGACAATTATAGATTTTTGAACTATCCTGATTAAGAGCAAGGATGTTGTCTTCCCCGAGGAGGTCGCTAAACTTCACAAAGTGCGTCTTGGAGAGATTGGTGGCAAAATCATGCGCTACCTCATGATGGTAAGTTCCCAACCTCTTTGTCGTGCTATTCCCGATTTGTTATTCCATACTTAGCTTCTATTTTCTTTTGTAGGCGAACACCTTGACCCACTCCCTGGTTCGACAATCTGAGAAGCATCTGGTGAGGGTTGAATTTTCCAAGGCAGCGGTAAGAGAGTTCCTGTCTTGGGTTGAACAGGATGCTTCACTCATCGGCGATCTGAAGAATGAGCTGGTCGCATAACGGAACCAGATCAACGAGCTGGAGCTTCACATCAAGAAGCTCAACTAGGAGCTGTAGGAGAAGGAAGCTCTCTCCACCAAACGCAAGGCACAACTCCTCAACGAGGTCCAGGATGCTAGGGTCTAAGCTACTGAGGAGTTCAAGACTTCGTCGAACTTCTTAAAGGAGAGGGAGGAGTTCATCACCAGATAAAGTCCTGAGGTCGACCTTTCCAAGATAAAGTCCTCGGCCTGTATGAACTAGATAACGGATCGGATCAATCTAGAGCCTGACTCCAAGGATGAGGAGGATGGGGTCGGTGAGGGAGCTACAACCGGTGAGGGAGTAGTCGGGGCCAATGTCAATGCTACCGAGGTGGTCGATGATGGGACTGAGGAGCCCCGTGATGTCTGAAGTATATTGCCTCTTTTCTTGGACCCCCTGTATATATGTAATGTGCCAAGCCTCCGAGCTCAGCCTATTTTTTTTGTTAATGTAACTCCTTTTCATCTTTAATGAAATTTGCTTTTTGTACACCTCACGTCTACCTTCTCCGAACAATAAACTTCAAAAAATAGACTAATTATAGGATTGTAACCCAAAGTGCCTAGGTGCCAAAGCGACTAGACATACAGTATGGGATAATGATCCAAAGTGTCTAGGTGCTGAAGTGACTGAGCATATCGAACTGCCGACGTCATCACAAGGTCAGCACAGGGGGCCTTTAGGCAAAGAGTGACTTGGCGTCCCCTTTCAGATATAGTGGTCTCTTTTTTTTGCGCTTAGCAAAATTTTAAAAGTTGTGGACACTGAACTCCCGAACTCAGATATAGTATCTCCTTAGGTTATCCACATTCCACACACAAGGTACTTGCCTCCCCTCCAATGTCTTGAGCTCGTACTTTCCTTCACTGATCACCCTAAGTACTCTATAAGGACTTTCCTAGTTCAGTCCTACCTTTCCCACACCAGGCTTAGGTACCATAACTTTCTGAAGTACTAAGTCGCCAACTTAGAATTGACATCTCTTAACTCGGGCGGGCATTATAGTACCGAGCTATTCACTACTGGTAGGCTACGATTCGGATATAGGCTAAGTCCCAGACTTCTTCCACTAGGTACAAAGTCATTTAGGACCTGCGCTTTGATTGCTAGGCATGACTCTAACTAGATGTCGTATTCGCTTAGCTCGATGGCCCACTTCGTCAGTCTTCCCAAGACCTCAAGCTTCTAAAGATCTTGCCTCAGAGGTTAATCGGTTATGACTACAATGGTATGGGCTTGAAAGTAAGGTGCAACTTCCAAGCTTCTAATACCAAGGCAAAAGCCAGGTTTTCTATATCGGGGTACCTAGTCTCAGTTTCATGCAAGACTTTGCTT